AGGAATTCGCTCACTGCAAGGTGTTAACATACAACTATGTACTAAATCGAGCCTTTAAACATTCTGCTCAATCAAGCTAAACGGAATTAGGCTAACATCAGCCAATTCAAACTAGCGCATACAAACAAGAAGCAAATGAATTATTTATATATAAATGGTAGGAACTTGAACAGGGAAACAGAATTTGAATTATAGGTGCAACATATGCAACAAAGTATTATGCAGAGAGACACAGAACCATCGCAATCACAATTAGCTCATGTATTCCCGCGCAAGAAAAAAAAAGTATAGCAGTATTACAGAGGAGAGGTAAAAAGAAATAACAGATAACATGAATAAAGAGAATTTGCGCCAAAGTGACTTGAAGGGAGAGGAAAAAAAAAAAAAGAGAGATTCTGAAGGAGTAAATTATTGAAAGTTTGCTACAGATCTCTTTGGACAGAGACCACAGATGTCCAAGACAGAAACTACATTAGAAAACACTAACTACTTTCCAAGTATCAACTGGAGAACTAATTATTCTAATAGCAAAGGCAAAGTTTTCAGTGTCACATGCACAGAGAAGCAAATGTTATTTTATACTTGAGCAGTGTAATGAAACAACTGTTCTTTACTTGAGGTCACTTCATGAAGTCATAAATTGAAAGAAAAAATTACATTACTGAAAGGATGAATAAAAGCAGGACAGAAGTTTAAGTTCTCAGCTGCCAGAGGGCACACTTCAATAACAAAGGTAACTGCATTGTGTAGTGTACTCTGACATGGAATCCAGTTTGCAGCAGAGTACACACACAGATCCAGAAACTGCTCTTGGACCCAAACATTCAGACATCACCTAGAGACTGAGTTGATGAAGTAGTTCAAGGATTGGAATATGGAAATGCCCTGGGATTTCCTCAAGTCTAAAGCTCTAAAGCTAGTTAGAATTAATCCCTTTGTAAATGCTTATATGATTTCTTTTTCACCTTACGCACATAGAAAAATGCCCTCAATTGCTGAAGTCCAAAAAACAAACTGTTCCTTTATGCTACAATTACTCACAGAAATAACACAGTCTGTTACTGGCTTTTTCAGGTTACTCTCTGCAGTCTCCTTTAATTTAGTCAACAACATAGCTGAAATTTGTTCCACACTGAAGATGTGTTCCTCATCCATGTACATCACCTGAAAAGGAAAAACAGGGAAACAATTCCACACTTTCAACTGGAGAAAAATCTTATGTTTAAGATTTGATATGCTTCTGCCTCCTCCCAACCTGACAAGCTTAATTAGCCCATTATGTAAATGGCAGTTTTAATTTGTTTGCCACTTAAATGGTAAATTCAAGATTTTGCCACTCTATAGAATGTAGAAGCAGTAACTGTTTTGATACAGATTTGATAAGCATCAAAAACAATACTAGCTCCATAGATGGAGAAAACAGCTTGAAGTTTCAAGTGAATTAGAAAGAAGTGAGTATAAAACGGGTAAGACCCAGCCCCACATTATTATGCCAAAAAACAAAAACAGCCATCATTAAAACCAGTCAACTGTAGAAAAGTACAGAAGTACATGCTAATAATTATGCCCTCCTGACATTTTTGCACTTCTGTTCACAATATTTAAAGTGGATGTGGAACTCTCTGAAAACCCTAACCACCAAGACGATGATTTTAAAATGAAGAACTGAACATCAAACCATCAAAAATTATCAGTTTTCTGTGTACTAGAATAGTGTAGAGAAAGAACACTTTATGTCTGATTCTTAAAGCACTTGCTTTTTATTCACGTCATTCCAACTTGGAAAAGCAACCAGCAGGCATTACAATTTCAGTGGAACAAGTCTCAAAATAGCCCAGTCTAAGTGAATGCTACTTATTCAGTTTACTCTCAAAAATTATTCCCTACCACCCCCCATAAAATAGAACTTATTAGTTTGTCCTCCAAACAGACTGAGAACAAGAAAAACCCATTAAGTAGCACTGTTCTCTCAACACTAAACTTTCTTGTACAGTGAAAGACTTATTGTAATTAGAGAAAAACATTAATTTCTCTCTGGGGCTGTTAAAAATTACAAGTCACAATCTGCATTAAAAAAGCATCCTGTTTTTGTAAAGCATAACTATCCTTCCAGTATGAAAATTCAGTCTAATGCATAACCTCTTATGAAAAGAGTCAACACTTTGCCTCATCTTCACCAAAGTTCTGAAGCACAGCTCAAGGCATTGAAAACAAACAAACAAAACCATAAACAAAAAATACAACCATAAGCCCACAGCCAGAACTAGACTAGAATACTTATTTGGGAAGCAGAATTATAGCCCCCTATGTCAACAAATCTGTCATTAATCTAAAGAACTGTAAAGGATACTAGTAAGCAGGATAACTGTATACGGATCTAGTGTTAGCAGGTACACCTCTTTTCTAGAAAAAGCTCACACTGTTCCAACAAACTTGGAGTGCAAGCAAGGCACAAACTGGAATTACACTGTAAATATGTTTTTTGAAGGTCTGCTGCAAATAAGTTACAGGATACCAGCCAGCCCACTAAAGATGCCACTCACTTGTAACAAAGATTTTAGAGTTCCCCTAACCATGTAATTAGATTGTTGCAATGCGTTCCATGTGAGACAGAGAAAGGTGGATACTTAAAAGTAAACTCATATAACCTTGTAATTACCTTAGCAGCTTTCTCCTGAACTGTTCAAACTTCATGTGCAACCTGCACCAGGGAAGCTCATATTTGAGCAATTTATTGCAATGAGACTTTAATTGATAATTAATATACATTGTTTAAAGATTTAGTTGGCTATTCACACAAGAGCTCACTCAGTATGAGAAAGGTTAAAGAAAACCTTTAGAGAGATTAAACGAAACCTGTATTTTAATGATTAAATGATGAAATATGAAGTTTTCCATTTGGCTATAAAAGAAAGGAACTTTGTACTGCAAATTTACCTTCACTCCAACGCCACCATTCTTCATAGGAACCAAATCATAGCTCAGTTTTTCTTTTTCCTTCTGCACGAAAGGATCATTAAATGCACGGCCATGAAATCTCTTGAAGTTAGACACTGTGTTGTTGGCATGAGTAATTTGCTGTAAAACAAAAACAGGATGTTTTGAAAACCACTCTTAATCATCCTCCATTACAGACCAGCATTGCTCTATGAACCCCCAAGCACCAGTCAAGTCAAATCTTGAAGCAATCAGTGAGCAGTAATAGGATTTACAGTGTCTGCTACTTCAGCCATCTAATTTAGCTGCAATTCAAATAACTCCATCTAGGAGCCAATTTCAATGTCATTGCCTGCAAGCTGGCACTGCAATCCCAGTCACTTCACCTCCTATTGTTTCCCCCTTGCCCCCCCCCCCATTACATTAAGCACAAACAGTTGTTTGTTCAGTTACTCAATTTCAAGCTGATTAGTCTCCTCATCCAGTTCACCACTTGCTGCCTTTTTTTTTTCCAAGGTACTTTTAAACCAGTTCCCTTGCTCAGTTACAAGAACTGCTGTGCCCAACCCAAAGGGGGTACAATTGCATCATCAAGCACCTAGAAACACCAGACACTCTGGAATCAACGCCAGTATAAAGTACATACTGAAATACACTGCGAGAACCCACCCAGAGACACGTTCCAGATGACTCAAGTGGCCTAGAAGAGATGCACCCCAAATATATCTGCAAATACCTCCAAGAGCCCACTCAAACTGCCATGGCCCAGCAATTGTAATGGGGAACGCTAGTTCATGCAAGCCAAAACCACACCAGGAGCTCTTACCATGCTTTAACACAAGAAAGTATTTAAGTTTAGTGTCCAAAAACATTTCCTGGCACTGTTTCATTACTTGTACAGCCACAACTTCATACTACTTGAATGCCCTAACTCACAGCTGTACTGTGGAAGAATGTGGATGCAAAAATAATACTTATGCAGTGGGCTGAGCAGCACAAACACTCTGGTGACTTTTGATAACCTAATTTAGAATTAAACTCAAAGTTTTTTGTTCTTTTGGAAAAAAAAAAAAAATCTCATGACATCTTTAGAGCAATTTTATGCCATTAGATCTCTAGCATGTTTCAACACCTCTCTGCTTAGTCAAACTAAGAAAACAGAGATTATGGTAGCCTAAATGACACATTACTGCTCACACCCAGTGCTGCCAAAACTTACCTAACATATCACAGAATTTCTTTAACAAACAAACTGGTAAAGCATCAGAGTAAGAGACCACCTTTGAGTATTCTGAGCTTTCACATAGTCACATTCCTGAAGTCACTAGTCAAGATTTTTTTTTAAATTAAGAACATATTACTCAAATGAGTAAGGTAATCCCTGCCTGATATATGCAGCTATAACATCATAGGTCACTCAAAATACAGATCTCTGTTGTCCAAGTCAAGTTACTTCTACATTTACAAAAAAACCTTCATGAAATCTTCTATCATTTTAAGTTTCATATTCTTTTCTTCTGGCAAAAAAAATAAATAATAATAATGCTTAAATTACTAGGGCAACTAAGAAAGAAATTCTATTAATATCCCTTAAGGGCTAGCTAGTCTGAAGGCAACTGAAGTCCTGGACAGGCAGAAAACACAAGACCATTACGCACATTGAAGTGCAATTTAATCTACTTTCCTTTCAGTTTATTTGAAGTTCTGGACAGGATGTAATAGAATGTTCTAATAATATTGTCATATCTTTCAGTTAGCCTCAAGAGAATCTATGCAGAATTTAGGTCACTTGTTTTGAATAAAATCTCATTTACTTCTGTACACTGATAATTATTTTACGACTTAAACCAGCAAAAGGCAACAGCCAAATAAACAGATGTAATGATAAAAATTAAATTTAAGATAAAAATAAAAAGAAAAGGGACATGTATACTATCTGACACCGTTAACCTGTAACTGAAGATGTATGTGTGCGCTCATGAACATACAAATTATTCTTATTTCCTTGGCTGCTGAAAATTAAGATGGGAAATGCTGTAGCAGGAAGAAGTCTCCTTTAGGGTTCTCTCCATGGAAACCCTTTGAAGTGTCTTTACTACACAAGAGATCTGCACGGGTCAACACAGGCTGCATGCTTGCTCTATACTGGCAGCAGTTATGTAACAGCCCACAAACAAGAGGTTACAATCCTGGAGGATTTAACTACTGCATTTAGTTAGCTACTTTAAGATGTGCCAGAATTGAGATTTCTTTTTTAAAATGCAAATATGAATATAAGACAACTTCAAATATTTCTTCAAGCACCTTAAGTCCCTTTCCAAGGGCCTGAAACAGAACCAAAGGCCTACACTAAAAAACAAACAAACAAAAACATACACACGACAGAAAAAACACACACGGAATAGGTGGGCGCTTATCTTAAAGAAGCCAAAGGTAACAAGGCACCCAAATAGCTTTAAGAACGTGAGTCAAGAGTCTGATTTGCATCTAATTATAAGAAACTATATCCCTTATTTAAACAAAAATGCTTTCCTTTGAATGCTGGAAATTCCTATAAACAAACAGTTGGACAAGAAACTTGATGACCAGGTCGTTAGAAGATGAATGTGTTCAACTGGAGGATACTACTGTTAACAAAAAAAGAGAGCAGTTGTGTTCTTGCTAAAGCAACTTGTATTAATCATTTCTTTGCAGAAAGCATGGCAGCATAGTGCAACATTGCAACATTTCTAAAGTAAAATGATTAGCTGACAACAAGAAATTAACTTCATTTTAGCAATAGGTACACACTGGTACCTAAACAAGGCTTTGCACCAGCAGCTTTACTGTTAACTCTCAAGGCCAGGAAGCTACCTACCTGGTTTTTAGCTGAGACACCAATAGCTCTGTTTTTGGATCCAAATGAAACAACTGATCTACAAAAGGAAAAAAAAAAAAAAAGGCTAATTAACACCATAAGGACCATAAATGGTACTGAGAACTCCCATGGATAGTTTGTTTTTTTTAAAAAAAAAAACAGTGCAAAACTAGAAACTCTGTTTCTGTTCAAGTGATGTTCTTATAGCTTGGGGTAACACACTACAGTAAGAGCTCTATCTGCTTTACAGTCCTGGCTTTTCACAATGGCTTACTCACACACAGCTCAATATTATGATTACAGTTAAGATGTCACATCCAGATCCCATCCATCCCATCCCTGGTTGGCTGCTCCCAACTTTCCAACTCTTGCTTTGAGCCTGAGGCTTTTTACACCTGACCCCAGAATGAAGGCAAACAGCTCTGCACAGCCAGAAGAGAAGCCACGCAGCTGAGCTACCTCCAGGAAAGGGAGAGGAAAAAAAGAAAAAAAAGGCTTTTAAATAAAGGGGGAAAAATGGGGGGGGAAGGATTTTTTTCCCTTTTTTTTTTTTTGACGTATTTAAATTTAAATAGGCGAAATCTAGAACTTTCAGATTTGCAGTTTTACACGGACCCAGCTCTGGGGTATGGCTTCAATTAAGAAGGCTGCTAAACTTCACTACCAACACAATTACAAAACTGATTTATTCGCGTGCATCGCCAAGCAATAAACGGTTTTAACCGCCCGCAGCAACACGCAGCTGTGCACGAAACGAGGGCACGCAAACCTACAGCCTGGCCGCCTCCCTTAACGCCCGTGGAAGTTAACCCGGGTTAACCCTAAGAGCCTCTCGGGGCAGAACTGGGGGCTCGAGCCTAGCACTACCCTCTCCTCCGTCCCGGGCACCCTAGAAGCTTCCAGCACCTTCCAGCACCTCCGCCGACCGCTAACGCACCCCCTCCCCAACGAAGGGCTCCTGCACCCCGCACTCACGGCGTGCAGCGGTCGCTGAACTCATTGGCGACAGTCTCGATGCCACCGGCCCGCGCCACGGCGATGTAGCAGCTCTGGAAGCCCAGGTCGAAGCCCACCACGGCCATGGTCCCGCCGCCGGGGGCTGCGCGCCCCCGCTCTGGCTCCA